CGGCAGGATGAGTGGAAGTACTCTCGGCGTAGAAGGTCCCGGTACCACCACAGCGAGCACAGCCTGAGCCCAGTTGGCCAGCGATGCCAGAACAGCCGCCTGGAGCCACTGGAGTGCCGGGATCTGCTGGTACAGAACGCGCTCTTCACTGGGGACCTGGAGATGGTGCAGAAGTACTTCACCAAGAGCGCAGCCATCAATCTCATCATTGAGAACAAGGGCGATGAGCTGCGCTGGACTAGCAGGAAATTTGGTGGGTATGCAGGGCTGGGACATGGGGGTGTGGGAAGTGCCCAGGATGGGGACCAGAGAAAGAGCACAGACACCTGAGAAAAGTGTTGAGAGGAATCCCCGGTGGCAGAGAGAGGGTGGTGGAAGAGGGACTTGGGAAGAAAGGCTTTTGGATGAGGAAGGAGGATTCCAGGGCTGTAGACCAAAGGGTAACAGGCTTGTTGAACGTGGCCAGAGGCATATCTACCGGGAAGTGGTGAGAAAAGGGCCCTTGGAAGGGCTGTCCTGTTAGAAATTGCTGGGATAGACGTGAAGTATGTGTGAGGAGGTGGTGAGGCTTGGGTAAGAAGGCATCAGGTGGCATGAGGATGCTTTTCCTGCCTTATGTCTTAAGTTGGGTCCGTTACTTCAGTTCATTAGAAACTGGAGTCTGTGTCATGCTTTGGGAAGAGCAGAGACGTCTTAGTGGTGCCCTTCAGGCAGAGCATAGCCCATATGCTGAGAAAGCGGCATGGCTGTGTTTCTGCCTTGTAGGCAGCTGCTTGGGGACCAGTTGCTCCGTATCTACCTATTCCTGCTGCTGTGGGGCAATTCCGGGGGGAAGCAAAGCCATTGCGATCCCTGCTCCAAACACAGACTCTGAGAAGCTGCATGGGGGTTGATGTGGGAGGGTAAAGAGTGGTTGGCTGTGTGGGGCTTTGCTCTGCAGCAAAAGCATTTACTGTTTGGCATTTTTGCATGTGGGGTTTGCACCTGGCAAGCTGTTCTGTTCTGTAAGGTGGATTGGGCAAGGGGAGCAGAAATCTGGTCTACCAGAGAGACGGTAGAAGCAAGGTTGTCCTGAGTGACGGGAGGTAGAAGCTGGTCATCCTTGGTGTTTCCTCCCATCTGTACACCTCACTGTACCTGTTGTGGCCACTGCACATGCTTCCACACTCTCTGGTCCCTTTTGCTTACTTTCTCATCAATGCCATCTATGAACTTTCAGCAGTCAGCGTAGCTGATGCATTAAAGGGAGAGATGTGCTCAGCAGTCTGGACGTGTGCGTCCTTGCCGCTGTCTGGTAGCGTGGTGCAGGCAGACTTCCAGAGCTTAAGACGGGGAGTATCAGGTGGGGGGGCCCATAATCGCACCACTGTTTTCAGAGAAGGTTGGTGGCAAAAACCCTGTGCCAGAATGGAAGAACTGTTGATGAAGGCCGCTTTTCCAGAGGTGCAGGTTCTTTTCAAGTGTCCTGACACAAAGCTATGGAGCAGATGGATAAAGCTTGACCGTGTTTTGTGGGATCCACACTGGCAAGAGACAGTCAGGTAGAGTGGGCTTGCAGATGCAAGTGCTGCTGCTGCTTGTGGGTGGTGAAGATTATTTACTGAGGGCTAAGATTTATACAAACCAGGTTTTGAATTGTCACAGTCTACTTAAGAATAAAAATAAAAAAGGTATTACCCTTTGTGTAACTGAGACCACTTACCAGTAAAACATTAATTGCATGTTTTAACTCCTGCGTTGTGCTGGCCCGACAGGCACTTAAACAGCAAGTCAGTCTGTCTGTAAAGATTTATGCCCCAAAGAAAACAGAACAGCTGATATAAAACAACTTCAGAAATTGCTCTTATCACCAAAGTTTCAAGATTTGAACCCAGCCAACTAAGATCAAGCACAGACCAAAAAATGTACTGCAAGATTTGTTATATAAGGATATAGAACAAAAAACAAAAGCAAACCTTGGTGCTACCTAAGTCTTTGGTTATCCATCTCACTGGCCTGCAGGGGCAGTTTCTTAAAACTTACCCGGCCAGCAACCCTAGGAGTAGATTCTAGTGACCTGGGCTTTCCCAAGTCATCCCTACTGATATTTTGAGAAGCCCAGAGGAAGTGTAAGTTACGGTGTTACTGACATGAACTCACACAGCTTTTTGCCCCCCTGGCGGTGCCTTTGTGATTGGGAACCTCAGGCTCTCATGAGATACCTGCTTATATCTTTGGGGAAATAGAGGATCCCATCAGGTGAGGGAGTCTGCCAGGTGCTTCCCTCTTTGTACCCTTCCAGGCACTACATTTTCAGCTAGACAAGGGGGTGAAGTCTGTGCAGACAGAGGATGCTGGAGACTGTCAGTATAGAACTTGGTCATTTATTTTCATTACTGAGAGGGGTAAAGTTCCCTATCTTACACTCTTCTCTGGTCCCCCAGGTAATTGTTGTTTGGTGTTCTATTGGGGTCACTTGTTTTCAGCTGCGTGATCTGAATAGTTCCATGATGCAAAATTAAACTAAACACTGCTAGTCTTCCATGCAGTTTGAGGTGTTCTTTAGAACATATGGTCTGAACAAAATGCTCACAAAGCTGATGAACTGTGAGCAAAGGGCGCAGTTCTATAACCAAAGTAGGGGTGGCGTGGGTTTATACAATGAAGTGGGGATAGGGAAGAATGCCATCTGAGGTGAAAGGGCAGCAGTGAGGAACCTTGAGTGAGGGGGCTGTCGGAGGATGGAAAGGGAGTACTCAAACCATGCAGCAGCTCTCAGCAAGGCTGAATTTCAAGGAACAGTAGGAAGGGGTCTAAAGGATAATTACCTTCTATGCTTTTACTTCACTTGTAATGCATTGTTTCCCATCCTTGTACCTATTTCTACCTGTCCTTTGGCTTTAAGCTTTGATTAAAAAGAACTCTCCTGTGGCTTGTTTAAAAACCCTTTTAGTGCCAAGGGCTCAGGTGGCACTGGCAAGTGGAGGAGAGGTGCTGGAGGTGTGCAAGGAGCCAGGGGCGGCACAAAGGTGTGCTGGTGGTGTGTGGGGGCAGCGGGGTTGTGCTGTTGTGGTTGGGGCAGCAGCTGGGTGGCAGCAGGCTGGTTGGGCATGACACTACTTCCCTCTCTGTTTTCTTAGTGATATCCTGTCTCCGTTTCTACCCTTCAGGCTACTCTGCTGCCCAGCCCTGCCTAGGGCCTTCCCTTCGCAGCCAGTGACTGCAGAGAGGAGTGTCCTCGTCGCCTCTTGGCCCAAACTTTTGGTCACAAGGTCTCCCAGAATAGAACAGCTGAGACCTGAGCTGTACCCAGCCTGGGCCAAGCAGTGATGCGACATGTCCTCCCTCCCTGTGGAGTGCCCAGGGCAGACGGGCAGCCCGCAGCACAGGGCACCGGCAAGGCTGTACCTGCAGGCTTAGAGCCTGGCTGGTGAGGCAGCAGCAGGTCCTGCCCCTGCTTCTGCAGAGGGTCCGGGTACTGTGTCATGGGTGACATCACGGGCAGAGAAGACAAGAGTCAGGAGCCCATTTGCACGCGGAAGGCGGATGGTCCTGCCCAGGTCTACTGGCAGGCCCTGCTGACTGGGGACCAGGGGGTCGTGGCCGAGATCCTCAGCGACCCTCAGAACAACCTGAGTCCCAATGCCGTATTTGACACCAGTGACCTGGAAGAGTGGAAAAACTACCGCTTCAACTTCCGCCGGCTGAGTACGTGGGGGGCAGCGGGCAGGCGGTGCGGTGTGGGGGCTCGGAGCCTTCTGCCCGTGCCGCAGGGCACTGCTGTTGCTGTTGTGTGCTATGGGTGCAGTTTGGGTTACGGAGGAGTCGAGGTGGCAGCGAGAGCACGGGGATGCGGTTGGGTTCCCCTGGGCTGCTTGTGGGAGAGTGTGCGTGTGTCTGGGACCCTGAGCGGTGCCCGGGGCACCCGGCCCTTCTAGCAGGGGTTGTGCAAGTGCTTGGAAACCGGCTGGGTTCCCCCACGGGGCAAAGGAGGTTCAAGCTCCAGGTTATGCCCCTCCTGTCACCAGTCCTGCAGCCTGGCTCTGTGTGCCTGTTCCATCTGTGTGCAGGCTGCGTGGGGCTGCTGGTCTTCTCTGTGGCTCATGCTGGGCAAGGAATTGCCTGTGTTAGGTCCTCGAGGTGGTTCCATTTGAATCTGGCTCTGGGAAACAGAATTGACCGCGCACTGCTTCCACAAGAAAGGTGAGGGGGATGTAGTACTGAACACGTTATGTGGTGTGGGATGTGGTCCTCTAGCCCAGCCTGGAAGGGCAGCAAGTAGCAGGATTTCAGGAGCCCTTGTCCTGTAAGAGCTGCAGGCTGTTTGGCAGCAGAAAGCACCAGCTCAGCAATGGTTCCAGCTGGATCAGCATCTTTGAGAGTTAGCAGGTTTCAACCCCTTGCTCTCTCCTAAGCCCTAGATGTCCATCTCTGCTGGAGATGCTTGTTGGCACCATGCTCAGGGCTTGTCTGAATCTCCTGTGTGTGTGGCAGCCTGCTCCAGCACCTCTTGGTTTTTACTGTGGTTTTACAGGCTGCCCAGGGCTGTGGTGGAATCGCCATCCCTGGAGGTATTTAAAAGATGGGTAGATGTGCTACTTAGAGATGTGGTTTAGTAGTGGTGTTGGCAGTGTTAGGTTGATGGTTGGACTACATGATCTTAAAGGTCCCTTCCAACCTAGATGATTGTATGATTCTATGATTCATACATGGTGCTCTTCCCAGCCACCTTGCTGCTTTCGGCTCTGCCTGTGCCTGAGGCCCCTCATCCGCTGTCCTCCTGTCAACAGCAACCCCGTGCTGCAGGTGAAGAGCACGCTCTGGAAACAGCTTCTGCCCTGAGGCTCCTGCTCTGCCAAGCCCCCTGCCAGCACGGCTGTGCAGTCTAAGTCACCCCAGGTCCTCGCCTTTGGCGGGCCGGTCCGAAGGCAGGGACTTTGCCAAGCGGGGACTGGCCGGAAGAGGCAGCCCCTTGCGGGGACACCTGAGTCTCTCAAGGGGGGACACACATCAGGCACCCTGGGGGGAAAGGACAGGACTGTGTGCTTTTGTGCACCGTGGCTGGATGTAGCTCCCTGACCTCTCCTTCCCTGCAGGAA